CTGAATAGGGTACATCACAATAATCTCAATCACCATTCCCACAGCAATTGAGCAGATACAGAAATTTCCAATGGCTGTCAACACCTAATAGAAGCCAAATCAAGTATTCAAACATTAGTCCAAAGTTGTCAGACAAAGAAATCACTCAATGAAGAATCACTTAACAAGAGTTTATTTCCATACAAGTTTAGAAAGATTTTTGAGAATTTCTTAAAAAAAAATAAAAACTCTTAATTTTTAGTATAGAAACTCTTAAAAACTTTCCGAAAGCTAGAAGTATTTTTTTAAGAGATTTTATGGATAGAAAAAAGTTTTTTTCTTATTTTCGGTAGAAAAACTTTTAAAAAACTTTTCTAAATTTGTATAAGAGCAAACTCTAAATGCAAAAGAAAGACATAAGACATGTATACCTTCTGGAAGTGACCAACATTGTTGGTGCTATCCACAAGATGTGCAGCCTTGCCAAAGAAGGTATGTACACCAGTGGCAATGACAACAGCTTCAATCTCACCTTGCTTGCAGGTGGAGCCAGAGAAGACCTCATCACCAGGGTTCTTGGTGACTGGCAAGGACTCACCAGTGAGTGCAGATTGATCAATCTTCAGGGGATCACCCTCCAATAAACGAGCATCAGCTGGGACAATATCACCCAACTTGATGCTGATCAAATCTCCTGGCACCAGAAGTGCTGCATCCTCCTCACTCCATCTTCCATCCCTCAACACCTATGTACAAAACGGTCCCTTCTCAATGATTGTACTTAAATTTATATGAGAAAATAGGTGATGCACCCACACTATAATTAAATCATAAACTACCATTTATGCTAAGTTGTGATTCATAATAAATTAGTAAAAAATCATCGCAACGTATCTGCATGGTTGACAGTATAAAGTACGTAACCATTAAACTCAATTTATACTGGAACCGTGTGATAAAAGTGAATGAAGAAATGTTATGTTACCTTGGTTTTGGGTGCAAGACCAGCCATTAAAGCTGCTGCGGCATTGCCAGCGTTGTTCTCCTCAATGAAACTAATGGTTGAATTGATGATGAGCAACACAACAATACCAACGAAATCTTGCCAATCCGGTGGCTTTCCCTGATAAATATATTAAAAGTTGTTGTTAGATAAAGACACTGCAAAGATGAAGACAAGAACATAGAGAGATTAGGGATGTGTGATTACCCCTCCATTGGCCAATGCAATGGCCATGATAGCAGCAGCTTCCATGACCCATGAAAGTGGATTCCACATAAAACCCAAGAACTTAAGAAACTTGCTCTCCTTTTTCTCCTCTAACTTGTTGGGACCAAAGACTTGGAGCCTCTTCTCTCCCTCTGCAGATGTTAGACCCTCTCTTGTACATTTTAGCTGCTTGAAAACTTCCTCAACAGGAATGTGTTCCTGCACACGTACAACATAAAGAACTCATCATTCCACTAATAACAACAACAAAATGAACGCATTTTCAAAAGGGCATGATCACAATGAGTTTTTCTTTTTTTACTTACCAGATCAACATTCTCGTTTTTGAGGTCGTCAAATGATATGTCGGAGGCCATGTTGAAAGAACGTGTTACTTCCTAGTTATTTTTTTTAATTTTATATTTTTATATTTTTTTTTATCTCCTCTCTTAAAATGAGCTCGTAGAGCCCTCCCCCCAAGGCTTGGAATGTAAGACGACCATGCCACGGAAGGATAAAAGAAAGAGGAGTTATGGATTAGGAAGTAACAGTCAAGGAATGCTTCGGTTTCCCATGTTTTATAGTTGACGTTGGGGAAAAAATAGGTAATGCATGGTTTGCTGCGCGTATAGAGCTACGTTGTTGGCAACCACAAACGGATCGGATTCTTCGGAGTGTTCGTTGAATGCTTTGTGGCTAGCATCACATGCGAGGTGCATATTTGCTTGCAAATTCTCAACTTCAGTTATTTTGGTTATTGGCCAAATTCGGAAAATGTAAATATTGAAAATTTATTTGGTTTAACCAAATTTGATTAAAAAAATCAGAAAAAGATATTTTGTATAATATTAAAAAAACTGAATAATGAAAATATATTATTATTTTTATTAATAAATAATATAATTTTAAATTATAATATATATCGTTAATAATATTAAGAATTTGGCTTTTAGAAAATGGGAGAAAAAGAACAACTAAAACTTGTTTCAATGTTTCAGTTATAGAAATTAAAAATAGAGAACACTTCTTAAAAACTGACTAATCAAACAGCAATTTTTTTTTAAATAAGGTACTTAAATAGACTTATATGAAAGAACCTTTTTGACAAAAATTACCTCCTTAAATGGATGCCAATATATATATTGAGAAATTAGTACGTAATTTCTGATATAAATATATCACGAGTTTACCAAAAAAAAAATAGACAAAAGTCATTGCATTACTTATTTACAAAAATAAAGATAAAGATAAAGACAGTTTATATGATAATTATAACCTGTATAAATTTTAACCAAAGTCTGTATTTTGAATTGTGTGCTTCACGCTTTCTCCCTTGTATTTTCATGTCGTATTGTTTTGAACATGATCTACATTTGATTGTACCAACTTGAGTTTGGCCAAAACTTGGTCTTTAACTTGATCACTCACCACCACGATCTCGACCTACTAGCTTAGAACACAAACATGATTCGCTTTTACTCACACTCTAACACCATTTATTTATAAATAAAATATATTCACATAATAATGAGTGCAAATTGTGGTATTGACATTTCAATTACTCAATTGATGTATATCTTGACAAATCAACTTCTTGTCATTTGATCTCATGTTTTTGAGAATTGAGATCCTTTCCGGTAACACTTATCTCAATCCATCTCCATTCTATTTCTCTCTATCATTTGGCTAACATTCTTTATAGTCTACCTCCTACTCCCTTTGTGTTGGCCCGAGAGGCATGAGGAGATCTAATTTCCATGTTTTGGTGCAACCCGTCAATTCTTTTTGAAGAGCTTAACCACATGCCCACATCCTTTTCAATCAATATTGTATCTTGCATTTTAACATATTGTTCGTTGTATTTCTTCTATAATGATGTTTCAATTACTTGATTGGATAAACGTTAGTAGTATATTTCTGCCAACATTGTACCAAAAAAAAAATATTTGTCACCATTCTCAAGAAGTGATTGTCAATGCCTCAACTTTGTCGAAAACTGGATCTGAAGTTCAACAAAAGTTTCTTCACAATCGCAATGACAACCTCTTCATACACTTATGGTGGAAAATAATTGGGGATGACAAGGCTCAATATATTATCGATGCCAAACCAAGAGAGTATGAGGTTATCGGAAGTTAATCATGCTTCAATATATTATACATGTTGGACCAAGAGAGTATAGCTCAAAACAATTTAGATTGATCTAGTGATTGAAAATTAAATTGAAATAGTATATACTAACAAAATCAAAACACTTTGTGCCTCTATAACCACTGACTAACACAATTTTGATTATGAAACATGACTATTTTGATTTTTGATATAAAAAAAATAGAACATTCTTCGTGTAATAATAAAGATAAACAAAGAAAAATGAAATATATACACCAAAATCTGCTATCAACTTTATCGGTATAGATAAAGTCATGAATTGAAATAAACCTCATTTTTTATTTATCCTCACTAATTTCTCTTGTTTAATTATCATGACATTAACAACTATGTAACATTTCATAAATCTCCTTAATTGTTTACATTCAAAGGTACTAGTATAATTTATTCTTAAACAAATATTAGCATTGTTCGAAAAAACGAGCAGCACACCAAATCCAAACTACTTATTAACTGCTAGTGACTTGACCAAGGGCTCCAACCCACCCTACAACAGAAAATTAGAGCAAATATTCTGATCGCCGCCATACGAATGCAGATTCAAGTTCTTGGTGCTAAGTTAATTAAATTGCTCTGTATTATGGCATACTCTGCTAGTAATTAAGTTAAATTTTAAAACTTGAGTACTGTCAAATTTACGCACGAAACTAAAAAAATTGGAGACAGCAAAACACGAATTCCCATATACTTCTGGGCACGAGCTACTTGGTGGAAAAATATTTTTTTAAGAACCTGATACGATAAAGAATACTTCCTTTTCTCTTTTCCTCCAAAAATCTTTGAACATTCTCGACAGGTTCATGATTCAGCAGTAGAATATCAAAGAGACACAGACTGCCTCTCCAAAGTTCCTCTAGTGCAAATTTAAGAAACGTGTTTGTTCCCCAGTTTATCTCAAAGGAAACCCATGTCAACCTGAACCAAATAAAATTTTTGCCTCCACGGTTTGTCCCTTGGAGTGGGCATACTGATGTTCAGGTGCATCCCGACAATTCAACAAACATACACTTAAGCAGTTAAGCCAATTTATCAATAATCCTACAAAAATTACAACACTCTATTTATCCTTAACATTCAGTGTCCTCCAATGACTTTGTTTCTTCAACAATCAGACTTTTCTCTAATGGATATCTGGATATGCCATTGACACTTGGCAAGAAAACAGGAGGCAGTCCCGAAAAAGTTACACCAAACTATCTTGCCTATGATTGTAATATTACAGTCTAGAATCACGCATTTTGTTTTAACAAAAACTCCAATACACCCTTTTGGCAGCTTGAAGCCTTAAACCCTACAGGACCCAAGTTTAAGTCATAGAGTCTGTTTGGATAAAGTTAGAAGTGCTTTCGAGAGTTTTCTACTGAAAAAAAGAGCTTTTTCCAATAGAAAAACTCTTATAAGTTTGCAACCAAACAGGCTCGTGATCATAGTATTAAGAATCTACAACCCAACCAACTTTTTTCTTTCCCAACGGCAGCAATAAGGTTTAAACCTGAGATCTCATCCAAACTACCCGAACTCTCGACAACTAAACTAACCCGTGGTTTTATTATCCAACCAATTTCAATGAGAGAACAGCACAAGATTTTCACGAAACAGGCTTTTCGTCTATTATATTAATAGCGAGGGGGAAAGGGGCGAGAAAAACACTGCAACACATTAAAACCTCAATCATAGTTCCACATTAATATCAAAAAATCATAAAAAGTTACTGTGAAATAAGAAATAAACGACGGGAAAACACTCAAAAAAGTTACAAAGTTTCCATCTCAAGGAATACACTACAAAACCTAGAACGCGATAGCATGTTCATACACCTTAAAATCCGAGTTTGGTGCGGCGCCAGTGCCTACGCTTAGCATTATACCTGAACACACAAAACAATTGCAGAGTGTGAGTACATGACAGCAAAGTAACATTCTGAAAACCCTAGAAAATCGTTGATACTAACCTGATAGTGTTGTCGGTCCTCATGCGGATCCAATAAGGGATGGGCCTGTTCTGCCTCATCTTCTTGGCGAGCTTCTTCTTGATCCTGAACGTCTTGTGGGAAGGCTACACATCAAATCAATGGCGCCGCGTAAGAATCGATTAGCTTCAAAATACTCACAACGCACAAAGAAAAATGGATTTTTTTTCTTACCATTTTCGCTGTCGACGATGCAACGCAACACAAGCCGCAGCACTTCTCTGGAAACGAAAGAAAACCCTAGTTAGTTCGAGTCTTTTACAGAGTCACTCACGCTCGAGTGGATTGGGCCGGGTTGTTAGTCTAGTACTTATGGGCTAAAACTCTTCGGCCCATAAAGTCCATTCATGCAGTTTCTTTTCCCCAACGCATTTATGTAAGATTTTCTTTTCGAGAAAATAATTTTAAATTCCTAAAAATATTTTTTATTTTTTAGGACAAGTAAAAGTTGATTGACATAATGAAATTTTTTCAGTTATATTTAATAACAACTTTTGTGTGTAATGAATTTATTATTTTTTATAATGATTGTTCTCAAATTGTGTGTTAATTTTTTTTATTAATTTACTATATAAAACTTGCAATGCATGCCTAAGCTCTAAAATAAATATTCACTTTGTAAAGTTTTGTTAAATGCGTGTAATAATACAAAGTTTTTATTTGTCTCTTATAATAAAATTGAGATGAATGGTATAAAATAATAACTTTCAATTAGGCATGACAATCTTACTCACTCTCATGAGTACCCGTCAGAACCCGCTCCGATTTAGACGGGGAAAACTGGTGTTTATTGGGTTTGAGTTTGAATTTTCCTCGATTGATAAAATTGGGGGCGGGGACGGAGATGTTAATACCCGCCCTGCCCCCGGCCCCATACCTACTCCGCTTAATAATATAATTAAAAAACTATTTATATATATATAAACCAAAATTAGAAATATTTTATATGTAAAAATTTATATTATTTTACTTTACTTTTATTTTTTTAAAATTTGTTCATATTTATTTAAAAGAAAAGAAGAAAAAAAATAGGAGTGGGGGCGGGGACAGGGGCGGGGTGAGGAAACCCGAATCACGCCTGGAGTGGGGATGGGTACCCAAATTTTATCCCTAACAGATATCAAGAGCGGGGGCGGGAGCGTGAAACGTAAAACCCGCCTCGTTGCCATGCCTACTTTCAATAAATGTTTGGATAAAAAATTAAATATTATAAGCAAGTCTTTGCAGATATAGCTCCAAGTTATTGTAGTTTTTACAAAAAAAATTTGTGGCATTTTATTGGTGTTCTTTTTAATCCTTATCCTCAATTCTAGATTGTTTAGTTTTAAAAATTAAAATGACCAGTAAAATGAAAATACTGATTAAGATAATTAAACCTACAATAAATCTTTAAAAATTGGTGGTTGAATTTATTTCTATAATTTTTTTAGGTTAAATTACAAATTTGATCATTTGTGTTTCTTAATCCATAATTTTGGTATTTTTATTTTAAAATATAAATATATAATTTTTTATTTTTAAAAATATAAAATTTTGGTCTACCATCCATCAGATGTTCATTAATTGTTAAATTTTGACATTTTTCAATAACTAGTCACCATTTAGATGATGTAATATTCAATGATGTGACATATAAAAATAAATTTTTTAAAAATAATATACAAAATATCATTGTTTATATTTATTTTAAAAAATTATTAATATTTATTTTGTTAATAAATTTTATACGCGTATTTTTTATATTTTAAATGTCATGTTATCAAATGTTATATCATTAAAATTTAACGATTAATATATACCAATATGATGGGAGATTGAAATTTTATATTTTTTAAATTAGAGAAATAAATGCCCGTTGAAAAGTGAAAATTATAAATTAATAAAACTAGATGTGAAAAAAAAATTGTAAATTACCCTTCTTTTTTATAGTCATTACGGATGTCAACTGTCATTTGCTAAAGAACTTCACTTATACTACCAAATATCACTCTGAAGTAATTATGCAAAGGTAACAATTTTTTACACATGTCAATTAATAATTAAATAGTATTCTAAATATTATTTATATTTGTTATTTTGTTTTAACAATAACAATTGTAACGTTGAACTCAGGTGAGTTGTGAGGTTTTTGGTCAGAGGTTCAATTGACCCGAGTAAAAATGTATATAAGATTTCTTTTGAAATTTGAGTCTCGTGATTTCAATTGCTCATAAACCTTATGGAGAGAAATATAGAGAGAGAAGTTTTGATTCTTCTTTCCTTCTTCCTTTTGGGTTCCTCGGGAGTGCAAGAATCATAGTTAGGAGTGTCAAATTCGAAGCTTGAGCTAAGAATCAAAAGGTTGGAGCAGTTTGGAGCTTGAAAACTTAGAGTTCTTCTTTCTTCTCCTTTTTTTGGTTGCTTGGGGATTGAGGTGAGAGAAGTTAGGATGATTTGATCATTGATTTAATGATTTGTTGTTGTTGTTGTTGTTTTCATTAAATGTGAACCTGTACATGTTTGAGCTCGAATTAAATGGTGAAAAATATGAGTTTTTGGTGTTTTCACCTATGAGGGTGATTTTGATGAATAATGCAAACTTGGTTGTATGTGTGTTGTTTTTGGATTGTTTTAAGTGTTACATGATGTGTATGAAACTGTTAGATGCCTTGCATGTGTTGTATCTTCTATTTTTCAAGAGCTTAGGATGAATTTAGTGATTTGCATCATGCCAAAATCAGTCACATTAGATGTGTCTTCATGGCGTTGGGCATAGTTCCAACTAGAGGCCTCTATCTCGATCACATCAAGTGCATGATTAGTAGCACTAGACGTGAGGAATGAGACTCATCTTAAGTTGAGATGGTACTGGGCGTGGTTTGAATGGCGTCAGATGTGACAGCCTTGTGAGGTCTCTTACTTGGTGGCGTTGAGCATGACCAAGTCAGAAAGTCCCTATTGGATGACACTAGACATCGTTGAGGAGACACCAGACAATAGTTAGGCAAATTTTTTTTGCTTGAGATGAGGTTAGGTGTGGAGTTTTGCTACGTTAGATGTGAGGTTCTAGGGGATCTCCACCTCGATCACATCGGGTGTGGGCAAGGCAAAGAACTCCGCCTCAATGGTGTCGAGCGCATAATGCTTCAATAATGAAGGGTGATTTTTGTATGATATACATGAGTACATGTATGAGTTATATTGCATGTTGAATGGTGTATGCTGACTATTCTACATGTGTTGATTATATATGACATATATAAATGATTGTATGGTGTTGGGTGATGGTGAGCATGTGTATGTTGTATGATTGTATGGTGCATGAGTTGGAGAGCATTGGTATGCTATCATTGTTATGTATGAATGATGTTGTTGTTGATCTTTATATTCATTAACTAAATGTAATGTATATTGATGATGTGTGCCTGAGGTGTGGATGCTAAAAATGTGGTAAGACATTATGTTGACTAACTTCAGACTTGAGGAGAAGAACAAGTTTTAAAAACTAAAGATCCTACATAGGGAATCTTGGAGTGATGCTCAGGTAGGCCATTTTTAGAAAACCTTCATTGAGTATGTATTTCTATTGGAGTAGGTTTTGAGGTGTTGATGTCTCATTTAGGTCCTTAGTTAGTGTTTGAGTAAGGTAGGAGGTTGAAGGCTATAACTATTAACCAATAACCTAAAAAGATTGTGTGGTTCTTTGAGGATAATTAGTAAGCAAACTCCATATATTATTTGTAACACCCAGTTTTTTTTATGGCATTTTCGTAATTATTGATAGCATTTTCGTAATTTTATTAAAGTTATAGGGGTAATTTGGTAACTTGGAACGGGCTGTTCCAAAAATGGAACGGGTCGTTCCAAGCATTAAAAATGTGTTGTTTTTGTTGTTTCGGAACGACCTTGGAACGGGCCGTTCTGGTATGGAGAACGGGCCGTTCTGGAAGCAGTACGGGCCGTTCTGGTTTCAGAACGGGCCGTTCTGCTTTTTGGGAACGGGCCGTTCCGATTTTGGAACGGGCCGTTCCGGTTGAGAAATTTGCCCACGTTTGAAGGCTCCGGAACGGGCCGTTCCGAAATCAATACGGGCCGTTTCGGGACCCCAGGATGCCTATAAATAAAGACTGGGGGGTGAAAAATTATAACTGAGTGAAAAGTGAAAATTCTAGAGAGAGAGGGAGAGAGAGAGAGAGAGGGAAAGAAAGGGGGAATCTAGAGGAGGAGGTTCTGCTCAAGTTTTAGTTCCTGCTTATTCAGGTAAGGGGGAGGAGAACCTTATCTCTTTAAAATTTTATATACTACTATGTTTATTTATTTATGTTATTTTATTTAGTGGGGTGTCCCTAACCTCATTTATTTGCTTATTCTATGCTTATTTTTATCCATAATAATTGTTAATGTGTTCATATTTTATATTGTTTCATTATTTTATAATGATTGTCATTTTTATTTATATTATTGGTACTATTAATATATTCTTTTTACGTAAATATATTTATTGTAAATATATTTATAATTAACTATGATATAGTTTTGTTAAAGTCTCTTTGACTCATATTGTTATTATTTCTTCACGTATTTATGAAGATAAATATTGTTCTATGACCATAGAAGATAAAGTTTGAATTATTTGTAGCTGGAAGTTTGACCTTGAGGATTTAAATGAGTAAATAAATGAATGTGAAATATCTTATTATTGGTTAAGGTAAAATATCCTTTTATTGGTTAATATTATGATGATGCTCATTTATCCTGACTAGTCACTACAAGTATAATTCAAATTTTATTGTATCATGAAAATCTAATATATGATCTGTAATATATATTATATATATATTATATATATATATATGTTTAATATTGATTATAAATAATTCTTTATATTCTTTTGAATTATTGTATTTATTGAATATTGTTCTTACTCCTCTCTTTTCTTTATTTTTTTTTGTAAATTAAATATATTATAAAATAGATGGATTTACTTGGGATTCCAGAGCATTTTACAGTGATTATAGCTGTTGTCTTTCTTGGAAGAAATTGGAATGTGGAGGCTATTTGATGAATCTATTATAATTGTTATTGTAAATTTATTTCTATTATCAATGTAAAGTTTGTAATAGAAGTGAAAGAAAGAAATATTGTGTATAATAATACATTATTATAAATACTTAAGAACGATATGTTATGTATTAAATTCACAAAATATTCTGTTTCTTTATCTTATTTTTTTTTGTAAATTAAATATATTATAAAATAGATGGATTTACTTGGGATTCCAGAGCATTTTACAGTGATTATAGCTGTTGTCTTTCTTGGAAGAAATTGGAATGTGGAGGCT